TAAATGAAACAAGGGATACGTATAAAACACAAAAACTAGTAAATTATTCATTAAGCTGCATACAACATTTCAGAAATAAATTTATAGATGTTAACATTTAATAATAAAACACAAAGAAATATAGTTTATAAAATAAAATACTTAAATGTGCGAATATAGATTTAAAATAAAATAATTATTATATATGTAATTATATGTTAAAAATGTAACAGAAATTGCTTGAAGATTATATGGTAATATGGTTTATATCATATTATTGCAGGTATGTTTTTTAGTAGCAACTGAAAGCTAAAATATAGTCAACAAGATTCCTCATATCAATATAAATAGACTTACATTAAGACACTGCATCAAACAGACGACCCCTTAGCTTCACTTATGTATGCAGTTAGTGCTCAACTTAACTTATTTAAAGTTCTAATATAACTTTTGACAATGGAAAGCAATACAGTTTCTAGTTGAGTTAAAACTAATATTATATGGAAAATATTTTACTCATAAACCTCTCAGTTCATGGGCAAATATTAGGTTTAAAGTCTTCAAATCCTTATAATATATGGTGTGTGATTTCTTTTGGTATATATAACATGTTTAACATATTAAAAATACCGAATATATAAACAAGACATTGATATTGCCCCATCTATTTTCATTTTCTAAAGCACTCATCAATTCGAGTCCAATAGATCTTTGGCTCCATCCCTGTAATGTGGCTAGGTTTCTGTCTTCAAATTACGAGGGCAATTCGATAAGTCAGTGACTTTTTGAATTTCCTGCTCAGTTACTCCAAATGCAACAGTGCTGTAAAAAATGTGAATTTCGTGTGCTGATTAAACATTACGATTCCAAATCCACGAATTGGGATACGAACTACTACCCCATTTAGCATATTCTCCAGATTTAGCCCCCTGCGACTATTTTCTGTTTCCAAACCTAAAGAAATAGCTAGGTGGTAAGAGATTTGAGTCCAATGAAGAAGTCATTACCGAAACAAACGCGTATTTTAAGAGCTTTAAGAAAACCTATTATTTGGAGGGAATAAGAAAATTAGAAAAGTGCTGGACTAAATGTATCGAGCTAAAAGGTAATTATGTAAAAAAATAAAATGTTTATTTGCCAAAAAAAATTTGTTTTATTCAAAAAGTCACTGACTTATCAAACCGCCCATCCCATCCATCGTTAATCCACTCTTGTTCTCAAATAATCCCCAACCCTTTTACACTTCCTTCAGCCAACTGTATCCTAATGCATGTTTTCCTATTTATAATTTCTTTCGTGTTATCTGGTATATAGATCTTCAAGAGCTATTACAACAACAACAAAACAATTTTAAATTCTTCAAATATTTTTTATAACTTTACATAAATAGTATTTTCTTTCATTATTCTTCTAATCTTTAAAGCATTTCTGTTACATTAAACCAACACTAAAATTGATAACAAAAAAAAAAAAACCAAGACTAGTTCACACCTATTAAATAAATTACAATATATATATATATATATATTTATTTATTTAAGTATATATACATACGTACATATAAAAAAAAAAAACTACGGTTTATAAAAAAATTTAGTTTTATTGTAAATTTTTAATAATTTTTATATATTTATAATTTATAATTTTCTTTATAATATATATAGAAGTTGCCTTTTTATAAATATTTTAAAGTGTAATATTGTAGTCTTCAAATACAAGACGTAAAAAGATATGTATTAGTAATTAGTTTGATTTATTTATCTCACTCGGTATGAGTACGTATAGCAATATTTAGTTAAGCATTTAATGATAATATATATTTATATATATGATGTAATATATATCAATCTATTTTCAAGATTAAGAGTTCCTCTTTTGATAAATACCTCTTCAAACTATCATTTTCTTTTTAATTTATTTTTATTAAAAACTTATGATTAAATGAAAAATACTTTGTTATATATGAAACAAAAAATATTGTATTTAATAAATTAAAAATTTAAATAAAATAAGATACATATATGATTAAATAAAAGAAAATGACAATATTTAAGTATTCTCTTATATCTAAGTAAAATAAAAAATATTGTAAAAAATTTTGTATATATACTTATTATTTCTTTAGTTACGTATTAAAAGTTTGCCAATAAGTAAAAATGTAAATAATTCTTGATTAAGACGTAAATTGTAAAACTGAAAAATATTTAATTAATAAAAGCTTAAAACTTGTATATTAAAAAAATAAATAAACCAATTTGTTTTTCTTTGTACTATACTATAACATTTTCAGTATCAAAAAAAAAAAAAAAATTAAATATTATTACTGTAGCATTCTTATGAGAGCAAAATTATTACATTAATTTTACTTTTTTAAAATATTCTTTAATATAAACCATTGAAAGAGCATAACAATATGTTTTCAATAAATAATTAAATGATAATATTTTAATTTTTGTTAATAATAGCCTTGTTAAGTTTTGATATTGTTATTGAAACTTTTGGATAAAAATTAAAAATAACAACAAAAGCAAGCATTGACATGAGAACCACCGTAGTGATTTACCGTATTTTTTCATATTTTTAATATTATATATAAAGTCAATAAAGTAATTAATTAATATATTTAAAATATCTGTAAACATTTAATAAGATTTCAGTGCAGTCATTTATTAAACACAAACAAAAGATCAAAAAAAGTATTGAGAGTGTAAATCACATTAAAAATATAAATACCACATGACATAATGTAATGACATTATTAATTAAAAAAATATAAAAATTTATTAAAAACTATTATTATTATATTGTGTAATTTATATAGAAGTATGGAATGCAAGTTTAATGGAAAAATGTTTTCACCACTTATACAAAGACTAAAAGTGCATGCAGTAATCAAACGAGAAATATGAATCTATATAAATCAATTGAATTTTGATTTGATAGCAAATATTTAACACTGCATTTCGATACGAATTGTTCTAATCCAAGTAATACTGTATACTGCCTCTACAATGAATATAGTAGCACATAACTAGAGTTGTCCAGGCCAGACCGAATTGCGGGCCAATACAAATTACTGTATAGATTAGAAAGCAACAAAATACATGGGCGGTTTGATAAATCAGTGACTTTTTGAATTTCCCGCTCAGTTATTCCAAATGCAACAGTGCAGCCGTCCGCTGTAATCTACATTTGGGCAACTTTCTAATTTTGAGCAAGCTACGTCGTTCAGTCGGTGTTTAATAGCCGTTCTAAACAGACAACCTCGAATTTTTACAAAAATGGAAAAAAGTGAATTTCGTGTGCTGATTAAGCATTACGATCCCAAATCCACGAATTGGGATACGAACTGCTACCCCATCCAGCATATTCTCCAGATTTAGTCCCCTGCGACTATTTTCTGTTTTCAAAGCTAAAGAAATGGCTGGGCGGTAAGAGATTTGAGTCGAGTGAAGAAATCATTACCGAAACAAACGCGTATTTTAAGAGCTTTGAGAAAACCTATTATTTGGAGGGAATAAGAAAATTAGAAAAACGCTGGACTAAATGTATCGAGCTAAAAGGTGATTATGTAGAAAAATAAAATGTTTATTTGCCTAAAAAAATTTGTTTTATTTAAAAAGTCACTGACTTATCAAACTGCCCTCGTATATACAAATAGAGTAGCAAACACCTACGTTCTTAATTGTTAATTTATATTTATCAATTCTTCATTACCAATATCGAGATTATTTATACGAGGATCACCACATTTTTTCTAATAATGAAAAAATACTAAGTGGTCTCTGAAAATTGCTATATTATTTTTCAAAGTATTCTCCTTTAGAATTAAAGCACTTTTGCATGCGTTCGAACCATTTGTCAAAGTATTTTTTCCAATTCTTTTCAGTCGTTCCAAAATCAGCTTCTTAAATGCAGCAACGGCTTTTACTTCTTTCGTCGACAAAATCCGTTGTCCAAGCAATTTATTCTTGATGTTTGGAAACAAGAAGAAGTCATTGGGTGCCAAATCGGGACTGAAGACTGTACGGCATATGACCTAACAATTCGCTTTTTTTATTGTTGAAATAATCGGTTGTTAATCGTAAACAAGGCGTCTGAGCACTCGCATTATCTTGATGGAGATTGATAATGATTCGACGACGTTTGTTTGTTTTCCGTATTTCACTAAAGATTTCCGTTAAACAAATCGTTGTATACCATTCGGAATTGACCGTTTAATGTTTTTGTAAACGTGTATTCGTAGTTGCCACATGACTAGTTTTCCCGGAAGAACAAGCGATCGATCATATTACGAAGGGATTCAAACGCGAACAACTTTTGTTGGATTCTGTTCATCTTAAAACATCCATACAGTCCACAGACGATTGCTGTTTACGCATATATTGATGATTCAACAACTATTACAATTTATATACGTCTTTTGAAGCACCGCCATTGCACTTCTTGAGCATTTGTGTGCACCAAACGACACGAGCATTTTTTGAGATTTTGTCAAATGATGGGGGATGGGAGAATCCAACAAAAACGAACGGCAAAATGTTTATGCAATATTTTATATATGCTGGTAAAACTAATGCATAGAGTTCCCTTAACCTCACAGTTGAATGACGATCTGGCATTACAGATATCAGTTTTTTGGCTCAACTGATGCTAACTGACTGGATGACCTTCACGAATTTCGTCAGTGGACGAACTGCGGCCATGATTAAAATCTTTTCTTTTTTCGAAAGAAATTATCAAGCCTAATGGATTAATTACATTTTTAAACGTATAATGCAGAATTTGAAATATACAGTTCATGGACAATTCCTTTACTTCTCAGCAGTTTCTATAGGAAAAAGTTTACATTAACACTATGAGAGCACTTTTCATATTGTTTTGTTATATTGCATAATATTGCAGTTATAATTACATATTGATTACTTTTACATTTTTTATACATGGAATAATTAAAATTAATAATTAACAAAATAACTATTTTATTGAGAAACATAATGAAGTAAATTATCATGCAACCCTCTTTAAATCTAACTAATCTTCTCAGTTTTTAAATAAATTCCATTTCTACTACTCTTCATATATTTATGTATGTCATACTGAATTGGAACTTCAGTTTTAATCGTAGGCAAAATACGATAATTCTGCAATATCATTACTAAACCTATCATAATCGTCATTTTGCTAAATCTTATTCCAATACAAATCCGAGGTCCATCGCCAAAGGGTAAAAAAGCCATTGGATGCCGTTTTTTTACTTCTGTTGAAGAAAATCTTTCTGGATCAAATACTTCTGGATTTGGAAAATATTCTGGATCATGGTGAATTGCATCAAGAGGTATTACTACATTCATGCCTTTTTCAATAACATGATTTGTATTCGGTATAACATAATCTTTCACTGCTTTACGTAATGAACACGGCACAATGGAGTGTTTTCGCGAAGTTTCTATAATAAAAATCTCTTTAACAATGCGCTCTACTCACATTACTTATATCCTATCTCTTAAGTATATTAATTTGCATATTTACCATTTAAAACCTTTTCCATATATTTCATTTCATTCATTGCTTCATATGTAAATTTTCCTTCATAACGTGTAAGTACTTCCATAATTTCCTCTCTAAGTTTATTCTGCACCATTTGATTCAGAGCCAATTCATATAGACAAAAACTCAGTGTACATGAACTTGTTTCAAATCCGGCAGTGAAAAATACAAATGTTTGTGCTGTTATCTGCTCCATTGTCATAGGATCTGCAGTATCTGAATTTTTCAAATCTATAAGCAGGTTTAAGAAATCTTTTCGTTGTGTTCCAGTTTTCTCACGATATGTTACAGTTTCACGAACAATACGTAAAAAAAATTCGCTAACATCATCGAAGTAAAATTTCATACCTAATTTTCTGGCTAAGTCCGGATAAGAATTTATAAATGAATGCACTAACCATATGTGTCGGCAACGGAAACCTTTTTCACCCATTGCTCTAAATTCTGCTCCAGGATCCTTGAGACTGTTACAACTTAAACCAAAAACAACACTTCCGATGACATCCACCGCATATCGCGCAATAATATTTGCAAACTCAGATCCTGTTTTGGATGTATCTAATTCATGTGCATCTCTCATTACGTCAAGTAATTGGGTGGCAACATCAACTACAGTTGGAAACATAAATTTCATTTTTCCCGAAGTAAATGTCGGAGTAAGTTTAATACGCATAATTCGCCACTTTTCATAATCCAAGTTAAATAAATGCGCCGAAATCGGATCATCCTTTTCATTATAGTAAATACCACGAGTAGAGAAATACTCATAATCCTTGATGAGTACATTTTTCACGAGTTCCAAATCAAGTACGATTAAAGCACGTTGTATGTATGAATATAAACCAATATAATTTGCTTTTCCTTTGTATTTCATATAAAGATCCTGAACAATTTTAAATGCTGATTTTGTACGCCCTAACTCCTTCATGTTGCCAAAAATAAGTTCCGGTTTGTCGTGTAAAATACCTCGTTCCGCCCAATAGGAATATCTTTTACGTAGCACAAGATAGATTCCGAAAAGGATACAAGCAATCGTATAAAGTAAAATTTTGAAAAACTCCATAGTAAACTCCAACGTTCAGTAGTTAACTGATGTGGCGTAAGCAGTTGGAATATTTTATATATCATGAAGCCGTAATTATAAGCGCAATTAACATATATGTGCTAACAAAAATAAATTATTA